CACCCATTTACACTTCTTAGATGACTCCAATGACACAGATAAACCTCCAGGTGGCCTCAAGGACTCTCTAGAAGAATGTAAATGACCAACTGTCTGCAATCAGTATAAATCCTTCCATTCCCCACCATCCAGTCAGAGCTGAAGAAGCTTCTTGGAGGATAAGCAAAAGGTCTTTCAAGAAAAAAAAAGAAAGTCCAGTTGCCTCGTGAAAAAGCACCTTTGGGATAACTATGACCTGGATGATTGAGAATCTCTATAGACATCTGGTTTACAGCATTGCCAAGAGCATTGTTCCATTTCCTATTTAGTTCCATTTTCCATAGTTCCATTTTCTATTTAGACAACTAGTGAAATATCTTATCCACAAATATAGTAGGGCAATGATGTAAAGAAAGCTGGAGTACATGCTTATTCCTTATGTCTATCTGTTGTCACATTTTCTAAGTAGTAGTAGTGATGATAATGATGATATTATATTATTATTATTATTACTAGTAGTAGTAGTAGTAACAACAACAACAATAGAGTTGGAAGGGAGCTTTGAAGTCTTCTAGTCCAACCCTGTGCTCAGGCAGGAAATCCTATTCCATGTCAGACAAATGGTTGTCCAGTCTCCTCTTAAAAACTTCCACTGATTAATTGTTCTAACTGTCAGGAAATTTCTCCTTAGTTCTAGGTTTCTTCTCTCTTTGATTAGTTTCCATCCATTGCTTCTTGTCTTCAGGTGCTTTAGAGAATAGCTTGACTCCCTCTTCTTTGAGGCAACTCCTGAGATATTGGAACACTGCTATCATATCCCCCCCTCATCCCACTCTTCATTAAACTAGACATACCCAATTCCAGCAAATGTTCTTTATATGTTTTAGCCTTCAGTCCCCTATCATCTTTGTTGCTTTTCTCTGTACTCTTTCTGGAATCTCAACATCTTTTTTACATTGTGGTGATCAAAACTGGATGCAGTATTCCAAGTGTGGCCTTACCAAGGCATTGTAAAGTGATATTAACACTTCACGTGATCTTGATCCTATCTCTCTGTTAATGCAGCCTAGCACTGTGTTGGCTTTTTTGGCAGCTGCAGCACACTGCTGGCTCATGTTTAAGTGATTAAATTAAGTATTTTCAGTTTCAAATTTATTTTAAGATACACACACACACACACACACAAACACATATACATAGAGATCTAAGGTTGAAACAGATTGGACCACTGGCTTTTTGAAAGAAGCAAGAAAAAGACATACAACTAATCTATACAGTGTTTGACAGATGATTTGTTTTTGAACTGGAAGTTTGAAATGATTAAGGAGAACGGCTGAAATACTAGCAGTTTATAAGTTTTAATAATCCAGAAAGTAAATGTGCCACACTGAGCAGTGATATGTTTAATTTGACCTCACTCCAATCGCAGTGGAAGTATCTGCTTCTGGTTGTCATCTTCACCTCAGAGAAGGGGAGTCTTCTTCTGTTACTGTAAAACTTTGGCCGACCAACAGCCTTATAACAGTTACTGATCTATATGGTGAAGTATACTCCTTCAGTGATGGAAGTGAGAAAAAAAGGTGAGATCAATATTGTCCACATTTTTAAAAATAGTTTTGGTGCATTGATGGTAGCATGGTCTGTTGGCACATATATGAATTTCAGGAAAGCCTATGTATTGCAGGATGGAGTTCTACATTTAGATTCACTATATATTATGTCTTCATAAAAGACTTGCTTCTTTGCATTATGGCACACAGCTCAAACTTGCTAAAAAGATGAAATAAAAGGGCTTTCATTGAAAGACAATGCATATTATTTTATTTTCTCAGTGATAGTTTGTATGTATTACAACCAGTTTGAAGAAGATAGCAAATTCATTTATCAGCCATACACTCACTCATAAGAACATTCTTTGAACCTTTATTGCATTTACCTTTTTTCCACAGAAGCTAAACTCCAGTGTAGTTACTTTATGAGAGCCGATAATATCAGACAATACTGCAAAAGGACCAGAATGCCTACTGATCAAACTAAAATCCACACTTTTGTCAGCCTTTACTTTTAGGCTGAGTATTTAAGCTCCTGCTGGACGGGGTTGCTACTGCTAGTGCCAGTGCCACAAGGGCAAAGCGAGGCGGGTTGTGGGAGGCCTGTCTGTGGGGCGCTAAGGTGTGTGAGTGTGGTGCAGGTGGGGTGAGGCTGAGCATGGCTTATTGGTTCACATCCAGCTGGCTGTTACTGCTGGCCAATGAGCAACAAAAGGGCCAACGAGTTACAGCTGCTGCCGGGCACTGCCAGCCCCCGTGTGCACACTGCCTCCTGTGCTTGCACCCAGGGGGAGCACCCAGCTGGGCTGAGATAGGCTGGGGCCAAGGCAGTGGGAGTCGGCCACTTGCCGTCTCCAGGGGGGCCCTGCGGGCCAGATCTAAACACATCACAGGCCAGATCTGGCCGCATGCCTTGAATTTGACAAGTCTGGTATAATGCAATCCCACCATATCTTAGAACACCCCAAGTGATAACAACACAATTGTATGCCATGCTACTACTCTTTCTGCACCTATCAACTGTAACTTAATAGACACTTGCACATTAGAAAGTTGCACACTGTGGCTGGGGATAGATTTCTAAGCAATGTATTACCCACAGCAAGCCTGTAATGTTATTTTATACATGGATTTAGCATTCCTTAAGAAGAGTGCTAAACCTGTGTTTAAAAATAGCCCACCTAACCTGCTCCTTGGCACAGCCCTCAAACCTGCCTGTCAGCAAAAACTCCAAGCCAGATTGACCTAGAAATCTAGGAGTACAAGGGGAGAGCCTATCTGACAGGTACAAACTCTCTCACTGCCCAAAGCTAACGTCTCTGGAGGATATACCATTGATCACAGTAGAAGATGGAAACAGGCTCAGAGGAAAAAAGTGTTCCAACTCAAATCTGTATGTTAAAAGATGGCAATAGCAGGTATAACGTGACTGGTTCCAAGTTTAGTGTCATCTGCAAATTTGGGGAATGGGGAAGCCAGATTCACTTAACAACCGGGTTACTAACTTATCAACTGCAGTGATTCACTTAATAACTGAGGTAAGAAAGGTCATAAAATGAGGCAAAATTCACTTTAAAATGTCTCACTTAATCATAGAAATTTTGAGCTCAATTGTGGTCCTAAGTCAGGGACTACCTGTAGTCCTGTCATAATATGGTAAAACAAAATGGCTCAAGGCTAGCAAATGACTGCACATTCTATATTATTTTCCATATATGATGAGTTTGTATTGAATGATGCTGAATTGGAAGATGATTTTTAAAAAATATCAATAACCTGAACTATACTAATGATACTACTCTGATAGCTGAAACAAGTTACCTGAAAGCTCCAGACATGACAACAAAGGAATACAAATGGAAAAAATGGGATTGGAATTACATGTAAATGACAACAGGCACAGGAAACCAGCCTTAGAACAGATGATGAAGATATTAAAGTAGTGGATAGGTTCTTAACCTTTAGGAATATTTATCAACTATTGTTACCAATCAAGAAATATGAGGCATATTAGTACTTTGTAAAGTACAATTGAAGTTGTTGGAAAAGATATTCAGATGCTGAAATGATTTTATAACCTCAAAGATCAGAATCATGTAGGAAATATTTTTTTGTGGGAGACTTTATACAGTAGACGCAAAAGTTGGATTTTGAAGAAACAGAACAAAAAGACTATTGATGACTCTGATGTTAGAAATGACTCTTGAGAATACCATGGATAACCAATAAAACAAAAAAGGATCATTAAACATATCAATTCAGAGTTCTCACTGAAAGCACAAATAAGCCGGTTAATTTATTCTACTTCAGGCATTATGTAAAGAGCTAACTCTTTGGAGAATGCTGAAAAAGTGGAAGAAAGGGGAAGAGTATAATCAGGAGCAAGGTGGATGAACTCAGTTATAGATACAAAATGTGCATCATTGGAAGACCTGAAAGATCAGGTTGGGGATAATGGAGAAAATTTATCCAAGTGGTTGCTAAGAGTCAACGCAAATTTGATGGCAAATGATTGAAAAGTGTGAAATCAATGCAAACTAATTCAGGACCACTGTTGATAAGTATATTGCATGTAAATTGAGGACAGTGAAAAATGATTGAATGGGATTTTATTTATGCATTTGCCACCAATTTTCTTTGTGCTCAACAGGTGTTTTTATCCTTTTCAATTCCTGTTTTACCATTTGGAAAACAGAGATAATGACTACTATTATAAAACACTTTAATCTTTTACAATGACAGCGATGAGCAATTTAAATGCAAGAACTGTTCACCCCACTGCTTCCTTTATCTTGATATTTGCAGATATTATATCAATTCAAAGGGGGAAAAGCAGTGAATAAATCTGCAGCTCTAAAACAAGAATAGTTAGAACTGGTATCTATCTACTTTAAGAAGATAGGAATGTTACGTTTCTTATTATTTAAAATTACCATAATCCCAATAGAAACTCAAAGCATCTTAAAGTGTTCCAAGGTTTACTTGATTATGCTACCCTTTCTGATCAAACTGAATACTCAAGGCAGTTTACAATTCAAAACAATATACACACACAAGTCTAGAAATACTAACCAAAGCTTGAGGAGTCCCAAAAGAGTTAATGGTGGACAACTTGAACTAAAAATACTATGACACAATCTTTATTTGCAATATGATTATCATATTGACATATATTACACTTGTTTGTTGAACATGGTATCTTACTCTCCAAACCTTTGGAAATGTAGGAGCTGCTTTGCATAATATAAGATATTTAGACTAGCCTTCCCCAACATAACACTTTCAGACATGCTAAGATAAAGACCTCAGAACTACCCACCATATTCAGAGAATCCATTTGGCAAAGGCTAATTAGGACGTTTTATTCATTCCATCCTTATTGCTAACAATTTATGCTCATCCACACCCTTTACTGGTTACCAAATAAATTTGTATCCCCAAATTTATAATAGAATCATGTCCCCCACTTACCTGAACTTTCCAATTGCTCAAACAACCATTCATACAAATAGTAGCCATCTGGTTTCAAGTATGGCAATTGCTTCTTTGTTCTTTTTACCTCAGTAATATTCCCCTCCTCTATAAGAGACATATTTTGGATAGAGTTTTTGTGTTTCATCTGCTTAGACACCAATTTTCTTTTTTTCCCTGTTCCGCAGAGCTTCCCAAAGCCCTTTAAAATGGGAAAAGACAGCATGTCTATGGCACCTATGTGAAATGATGAGCAAAGGAAGTCAACCTTAGTGAGATAGAAATTATATGAACTTTTCCAGCTATCCATCTCTCATGTTATGCTCATACATTGCTTCTTTTCTTCCTCATCCATAAAGTAGATTAAGGAAGAAGTATTTTTAGCACTGATCTTTGGAAGATTATGAGAAGCACATTGAATAAAGCGGTAATTGCAAACATATTGAAACCACCTACTATATGTCATGGTATCATTGTCATTTTAGCCATTGTCTATTGTATACATCAGTGGTTCTCAACCTTTCTAATGCCGCAACCCCATAATACAGTTCCCCATGTTTTGGTGACCCCCCAACCACTTATACATCACCGGGTGCCAGGGGCGTGGCCAAAGAAAAGGGGGAAAAATGGCGGACAGCCTTGTTTGGCGACCCCTGTGAAATGGTCGTTCGACCCCAAATGGGGTCCCGACCCACAGGTTGAGAACCACTGGTATACATAAATGCAAAGTAAAAGATATGAATGGCATAATCAGATTTGTATCTTCAGCAAAAAAAAATCAAAAATAATTAAGAAATAGTTTTGGAAAGCAAAGTTTAATAAAGAGGCAACGTTATTAGAAAAGAAAGAATGCAAATGTGCATATTTATATGTGCATTTAGTTTACTCCAAACCTATTTCAGTCAAACTTACTTTTCTGATGTTTGCAGAAATACTGGTATATGTAGAGGATGATTCTAGTCCACGGTTTCATTTAGTGTTATAATAAATCATCAAATAATTTTCGTCCAATAGGACCAATTCATGAAATGCATTAGTTAGTGAATACAAGATTCAAATGAACATTTTATAGAACACATTCCCCCTGAGGTCCCCACCCTACTGCTTTTCTGAAAGGCCTGAAGATGTGGTTTTGTCAACAGGCCTGGGGACAATGAATGGAGATGGAAATTATAAAGTGGTTGATTTGATTGGGTTGAGAGGGGGGGAATAGGTTTTAATGCTGTAAAATTTTAACAGTGCAGATTTTTAATGTTGTAAGCCACCCAGAGTCACCTGTATGTGAGTTCAGCAGGGATATAAATTGGGGGGGGGAGAAGAAGAGAGGGCCTGATAGAACAAACCAAAAGTTGTTTTATCTAGTAAAATAGAGATGTTGTTTCTAATCTACAAGCAAATAAATCTAAATGGTTTACTATGACTGCTTGTGTGTTCCATCTGTGGCAATCATTCAAACTGCCTTTAAAGTTGACAAAGGCCATTACATCTGGACTGCAAAAATCTTATTTACAGTTGGCAGAAAAGAAACACAGGAAAAAAAATCCCTCCCTTTGATGTCATACAAGGACTTATTTAATTAATCAAAACATGGTACTCAAATGTGAAATATATACTGCTGCATCGTGCAACAACATAATTCTAATATCTTTCAACCACATGTATCACAGATGAACCACCTATTTCATTTACTTGTACTTCAAACAGAAATAATATAAATTGTATAGGGTAAACAGTTTCCTTTAAAAATACTTAAGTATGTTTACTAGAAACTGTAGAATATTTTATATCATATTGATTTAGATATACAGGTAATCCTCAACTTACAAGCACAATTGAGTCCAAAATTTCCATTGCTAAGAAAAACACTTAATTGAATTTTGTCCAATTTTACAATGTTTCCTGTCACAATTGTTAAGTGAATCGCTGAAGCTCATTGAAGTGAATCACTGAAGTTGAGTATTCAGTGAGTCACTGAAGTTAGTAACATGGTTGTTAAATGAATCTGGCTTCCCCATTGACTTTGCTTGTCAGAAAGTCACAAAAGGTGATCGATCACATGACCCTGGGACATTGCAACTGTCATAAATACATGCCAGTTGCCTAATATCTGAATTTTGATCACGTGACCCTGGGGATGCTGCAACAGTTATAGGTCTGTTCTATCTTCAAATAGTCGCCAAACAAATGAGGACGGTTGCATTTACAAAGGCAGACTACAACATAAGAATACTTGGGTCAACTATCTTAAGTTAAATTTAGTTTATTTAAAGGCTAAATTTAGTTTACATGATTTTAAAACAGCAATATTTTTAAACTGAAGATATGTTTAAAAATATTGTATTTTATTATTCTGAAACCATATTTTCAGTACAAATATTAATTTCATCACCTGCAATATAACACTAATAAATGGCAAATTTCTGATTAGTTATTTAATTTGGTAGGGGCAAACACTGTACTACATTCATCAAAACCAAGGCAGGAGGTAGATTTTTAAGTATTATATACTGAAGTGTTCAAATCACAATATTCTGATATGACTTTAAAAACATATCAGAAATGTAACATATTATACATGTAACGTATAATAATCATAAAGCTTATAATCTGCCTCCCAAACCTTCAACACAGAGACTCCTTCCAATTCAATGCCATTTCATTTTTATGAATATACAGATTATACATAGCCACAATATCTGACAGGTTATAAAGCTTTTCATGAAACGCCCAGCAGTTTTGGGGAGCAGTCGATGACCTTGGTTCCCTTGAGAGAGAAAGTCTGTTTTGTCTAGCGCAGGGGTGCCAAACTCAATTTCATTGAGGCTGCATCAGCATTGTGGTTGTTCTTGGGGGGCTGGCTGGGTGTGGCTAGGGTGGGTGCAGCCTACTTGGTAGGTGTGGATGGAGTGGGTGTGGCCTCCTGAGTGGACATGGCCAACTCTACATCGTTCGCATCAAGGGTGCCTGTGGGGGCCTGGGCAGGAGTGGGACTGATCTGAGGGTCTCTGGCAGAAGGGGGTGGGACCAGGCAAGTGCCAAGGCATGGTCCACAAGAGGAGCCTCACTGTTCCTCTCAGGACATGCGGGGGGGGGCTGGATGGTGGTACGGGCTGCCGGGAGCCCTGGACAGCAGAGTTCAAATACCCAGCCTGGCCCTCAAGCACCCACGGCACCAAGCCCAGCCCCACTTCCCCAAGGGGGCACCCAGCTGCACTCATCTGCCGAAACCCCTCTCCCAGAGCCCATCAAGCCAGATATGTGAAGTAGTCGAGGGCCATTTGCTGGCCACTTCCAGGCAATGGTGCATTTCTTCATTCCTCACAAAGGGTGACACCTCCCCAGCATGCACCCAGGGGGTGGGGCTGATACAGCAGGGGCGGGTTCCTCGTTGTTTCCAGACAGCCTTATGGAGCTAAGACTGAATGCGTTTCAGCATAGATAGCCACCACAAAATTGTACATTGGCTCCCTCCTGGCTGGCCTGGGCCAGGGCCAAGGCACTGGGGGCCGTTCTCTCACTGTTTCCAGGATGGTTTTGCGGGCCACATGAAACCACTTTGCGGGCTGCATCTGGCCCCCAGGCCTTGTGTTTGACATGTGTAGTCTAGCGCAATACCTGGCAAACCTCCTCCCTCTGTGCTATGTGACAACTAGGAATGAGAAGGAAAAAGATGTCTGCAACCGTGCTCATTCTAAAGTTGACAATATAAGTCTAATTTCATTTAATCATTCGTTACTTTATAACGGTTTCTAACAGTGTTTCTCAAATTTTCTACATTTGTGAACCACTACATAAAAGTTCAGAAAATATGGGAAACAGCCATTTCTTACATTTTCAACTTTAAGAGTCTATTGGGAGTTCCAATATTTTGATGAAGAACAATAGTTATAGTTGTTTTGTGAAAGAAATCCTGTTTAAACACTTTTTAAAACTAGGCCTCACGTTTTAAAAAAATCTTTTAAAAAATTCAATATCTGATTACTATTTTACTTTTTAAATTTGATGTGCCCTAAAGAAACAACTTTTAGTGTAAACATGTTGGTCAAGAATGATCTTCAGAAAAATCTCTAAGTATGAAAGAGGCCAGAATTATTAGCCCACCAAAATTATATTCTTAGCTCTATTCATTGTTATATTTCTTACTCTATGGACCTTCTTTTAGAGTTCTTATCTGAAGCAGAATAGTAATATGTAGGCTCATTATTTATTTATTTATATATCACTTTTATTATTTGCATAAAAAAGTCAAGGCAGAAATGAGTGGCATACAAGTTTTGATAAATAAATAAATATAATTCCTTCCTCATCCAATAACCCTGTGAGGTAGTTTGGCCAAGACAGAGTTACTAGCTCAAAGTTACCCAGCCAGCTTTCATGCCTAACACAGTACTAGAACTCACTATCTCCTGGTTTTTAATCTGGAGTTTTAACCATTAAACCAAACTGGCTCTCAATTATTGTCATTACAGACTTTTCTAGTAAAATATGGGTAATCAGGAGTATTGAATTTTGGAGATTTGAATTTCATGGAACCTTTTCTAAAGCAATTGACAAAGGTCTTACATATGGCTACTTAGAAGTATAAACTGTAAATCTACAGGAAAATATATTTAAAATGACAGCCTTAGATTTATTTAAAGCAGAAGTAATACTGTTCATTGTGTGAAGAGAGCTGCCTTCATTGCTTCGGTCATAAAAACACAAACACCAGATCTTGTCTTTTTCTGTATCTTCTTCCTTAATGCTACATACAAAAAATAAAATTTAACTGAGGCTAACAAAAAAGATAGTGTTTCATTTTATCCAAAGCTCCATTTACACGGAATAAAACAAATACAAAATCCTGCTATTAGGTTTTTTTAAAAGATAAAAATGCCAACTTTTGTAGAAGCAAATATTTTATTCAAACATTCCTGCCTTATGAATTAGGCTGTAATAATAATAACAAAAGTTCAACCACTATTCCAGGAAGCAGAATAGGAGCTGATTTATGACATTTCTGTTATGGTTTAAAAAGTGATAAAAGAATAATGACATCATTATTGAGTTATTCCATGCAATATAAAATAATTTAAATTGATTTAGACTTAAAGAAAGCTTATACCACAAAATTGCATTAGTGTTGCAATTTATATATTCATTCCAGGCAAATATAGTAAGGAATGTAACAAAAACTATAACACTATAGATGCATTAAATTTTAAAGATGAAAGATCAAACGCTAAGGAATTTCAGGTGTTCATTCAGTTACAGGCCATTGTAATTTATCACTACTTCTTCATTAAATTGTTCAGAACAATATGCAATAGACTATTCACACCGATAATCTAAAGTGCATGCATGCAGAAACACAAACAGAAGAATTCACTAATGACCTGAAAAC